GAGGAATATTTGGCTTTCTGTGATCTAAGATCAGTTAAAAGGAGAGCAAAAAGCAAAATAATTTTAATTATGGGCATTGGATATACATAAAAGACATGTACTTTCAAGTGAAGTCAAGATTTTCCAAGCATAACTTGCAGATAACCTATGATGTCAGAGGCACTATGGCTCACATTCCTATTGATTTTAACAATAATTTAGGTGTTCAAAAAAATAGACTGTAACTTGAAAAATAAAATGTTACTGTTTTGAAAGCAACTTTCAAGATTTTTCAGAAATTTTATATGAAATATAGTCTCACAGCAATATCTACCATGTCACAGCAGCATCTATTTTTAACAGATTTAACCTTTTGTAACTTTAAGAAACAAATCAGAGAAGAAGCATAATGTTCACATATGTTAAAGAAATGAAAAACATGTATTTTGTAAATAGGACAGGAAAAATAAGTAATAAATGTGATTATGGAATGTTAATTTAGTGAGATTTTAAAATTTAAAGACAAGATATGAAAAAGTATAAAGAACGCAAATCCTGACATCAGAGATGCACATGAAGAATAAACATGTACTGCTAATTCAGTTATCAAATATGAACGTTAATTTTATTTATAATTCTAACTTTCCTAATCAGAGTCATGTCATTTTTATTTCCTTCCGTAAGTCTCTCCAATTGAGAAATGTTGAACAATAAGGACTTCCCTATCCACAAGATCATTAGAACATAGGTCTTAATTTATCAATGCTTAATTTCTTTCTTCAGGGAACACAGAGCAAGTATCATTGTGTACCAATGCCCTCCCAGACAATAGAGCAGTGGTAGCAAACCTATGGCATGCATGTTATTTTCTTGCCTTTTAAGACAAAAGATGTTAAATTATGAGTTGTTTTTTCTCAAGTAAAACCTCAGAAATCAGGTTGAGTTGAAGTGTTGGCACTTTGCAATAAGTAAGTGGGTTCTGGGTTGTAGTTTGGTCATTAGTTTCTAAAAAGTTCACCAGCACTACAATAGTGGCACAGTCATGAACCATGTGGGATGTTTCATGTTCTGTCCAACCACTTTGAGAGAAAAAGCAAACACTGAACAAAGATCTCCAGATGCACAGGTGGAAGGATCTTAAGGGGCAAGTAGGTGCTTCAGTGGAAGTGAAGTGTTCTGAAGGTGGTAACTTATTTATGTATTTATTTACTTGTTGGTTTATTTATTTATTTATTTATTTTGTGAGAGTAACTTTTTTAATTGGGATTTCAATCATGGGTAAGTGAAGGCAAGGAAGTGGGGAAGGATATCCTTTGTAGATAGGAAAAGAAAGAGATCTTTAGGAAAACATCAAGTACAAAAATTCCAGCAAGACAGGAGTGGAGAGACTGAAGGGGAAGAGCCGTGATTAAGTGCAGACCGTGAGGGGTGAAGGTGGGAGATGTCAAGTTCAGTTCTTCCTTCATTATACAGACATTGGATTAGACTTGATGTGAGTCAGGAACAGAATCACTGCGGGAGAAACTTAGACTTATGAAGAGAGTATTTTGTTTTGAGCACTGAACTTTGAGGTATCTGTGACGCAACCACACAGAAAGCTATCTATTACTATCTGAAGCTGCTAAGGGATGTCTAAAGGATTGGACAGGTATATTTATACAATTGTCAAAATATATGATAAAGAAATCATTTAAGGCCAGGGATTTAGCTCAGTGGCATAAGCGCCCGCCTGGCAAACACTAGATTGTAAGTTCGATCCCTGGTACCAAAAAAAAAAAAACAAAAAAACAAAAAAAAAGTCATTTAAGTAGGTACTGTTGCTTAAGACTAAAGAAGAAAATAAGACTGAGGCTTAATGGAAGAAACCATCACATTATAGAGCAGGCAACATAAAGAATGTGTGCATTTTTATATGCAGAAGAGGTTTGGGACCAGCTGAAGACACTGCACAGTAAGCTATATAAATTCGTTCTGTACATTCAAATTATCTTAGAAAAAGTATAAAGGAGAATAAGTTTTTTTTTAACCCTGATACAAATTATGACATACATATTTGTTAAGATTCACAGCATGAAAAAGTTAACTGTCATATGATTCTTGAGTTGTTTTCCTTCCCCGTTTTTGGATGTTCATTCTATATTTATAATAGCTTCAGTAAATTCACAATTTTGAGTTAGTCATTAGAAAAACTAATACTGAAGAGTTTATCTCCATGAGACATGAAATGATTTGGCTTATTTATGAATAAGAGTTAAATCATTTAAAACCTTTATTCTTAAAGAATATTTTCTAAACCACTCAGATTCCCTCTTTCCCACCTCTTGAATGTTATGGAAACTGTGATATAAAATGGTGAAATTGGCAATGGTGCAGTATTTAGTCTAAGCTGAGGTGCTTATATGAAGGTAATTACTTGGCACTTGAACAGTATTTAAGTGCCCAACTTCTAGGTGATTACCTCTTGGGCCAACTGTGGCATTTACTTATTGCTAAAATATTAAAAATAAGTGATAATCATAAAATTGTGGGCTCGGTTTTTCTTTCTGAATTAAATTGAGTTTATTTTGGAATAACAAGTAATTTAAGCTTTGGTTGGCTTGGAAGAAAAAAAGCAACTCAAGAGTGCAATATCTTGCACGTGAAAAGTGAGCGGGTGGAGGAAGTGGGCAGCTGTTAGGATCGCTTTTGAATTGTGAAGCAGTGGGTTTGCACGGCTCCCAAAATGCAAAATTAGTAGTGAGTTTTGGCTCTCTTCTGTTTGCCCTTTCTATTCTGTGCTTAGACAGAATTTCACTAAAGAAATTCTTCCTTCTTTAATTTCTTCTCTTTGCAATTAATTTTATTCTTGCCTTTTAGATACATTACTTTAGTATAGTAATAGAAGACAGACTCAGAGGGGGAAAAATGAATAACAAAACATCTCTTTGCTCTATTATTTTAAAAGTTCTGCAATAACTCACCTGAGTGAAATGTCTTTTTAAGCAACAACTAGAAACATTTATATTGCATTTTTTTAATTATATTAGAAGAAAACTCATATTATTTGACAAAAATAATATTTGCATTTTACTAAGATTGTGCATTTTCAACAATATGACACTTGGCAGGCTAGTTGAATGAATATTTTTGTATCATAATTAAAAACAAAAATAATCACTTAAGAGTTTATATTTGGCTTTGAATTACTAAGAATAATTCTTGAATAAATGTTTTGTTTTTCTAATCATGAGGTTATTTTGGCAGCTTTACTGTGTTACTTGACTGATAGCATTTTGGATAGCAAAAGGAAAGGTGATTTTTATGTTTCTTTGTTCAATACAACCAAATAACAGTAATAGAAATTAAAACTTTTCAATATTTCAATGTTATACAAATAAAAGTTTAGCCATATTAGTGTGTGCATTTGAGTATATGAATTTTGTACCTTAAAATAAAAATAATTATACATTACTAATCACCAAAATGTTGCTGGCAGTGAACTTATGTCATACATATTATGAGAACTCTGAAAAAATGTTTAATCACTATTTTTAGTATTAACAATGAATATTTCATTTACATGCAAGACTATGTTATTTATAATTCTTTATAGGTTGAGTTGAGCCTTAAAAATTCCACATACAGAAGTTCATTTATATGTCATAATTGAATAGAAACTTTTGTGTTTTCTCAAGTCACCTCGACATGTTCTAATTTGGTAAATAAATAGTCCCTGCTAAAAACTGGGGTTTATATCAATTACCATTGGCCTTATTGAGGCTATCAAATCAGCCTTGATAATCTGGAAAGATCTGTATTAAAAGTAACTTGTTCAATGTCTACATGATAGAATTTCTTATCATTTCAACAATACAAACATAATTGTTTTGAAATCCATAATGGTTTAAAAATTGAAATCTGTTTTACATCTACAATTACATTAATTTTTCTGAAAATATGTCTCACAAAGACATAAAGTTCAAGTCTTAGTATTGAAAAGCTAATTATTATGACCTCAAGTATAATAAATATAGGAAAAAATGTAACACTATGTCCTTTCAAACTCTGATTATTACTCATTGCAAATATAGTACCATACAAAAGGGAATTTCTTTTATACCTTTTGCAAATATGTACCATACAAAAGTAACAGTTTTGGAGTCACATAACATGATTAATGTCACACAGTATCCTAAAAACCATTGGGTTTAAGATGCAAAATAAAAGCAATTGGGAGGATTATGGCATTTAATCATTTTAGACTTCCTTTTAAAGAATCATTTCCATTTAAAAAAGAAAAAAATGCTCTTGTTCCTGTTTAGTATTTATGTAGTTAGGCTGAGTTTCTTATCTAGATGTTTCATTATAAATTCTGCCTTGTGATTTTGTCCTTTTCTGGTAGTGTGATCTTGGTAATATATATATATATATATATATATATATATATATATATATATATAGCTCTTCTGAGTGCTTAATTCAATTCCCTTTTGTATTCCATATATGATTTTTATAACATATTTGTGTTATTTAAATGTACATAATGCATGCAGAACATTTGGAAACCCACAAAGGAACTAGGCAATCTAATTTAATATTAACATTCAATGAGTACATTTTGCATGTGCCTTACAATAACTGTCACAAAGTGGCTAGTTAGACATTTTTAAATTTTAAGAAATATATTGCTTAATTCATTATTTTATCATGTACTATAAAATATGTAAACTCTTTCTGCATTGGGTTGGGCTTCAAACATTCAATAAAGTCTATTTACCACGTCCCAGATTAATTCAGACATTGTTTAAAATTAATTATTCCTTTTTAATTGCATTGTATAAACAGAAATGACCTGTTAATTTAAAGAAAATCTATCAGCACAAAATGAATTCACTCATATAAACAAGCAAGATGAACTTGACCTTGTTTGAACTTGTTTTGATGTGGCCCAGATGGTAGGCTACATGCTTGAATAGCAGGCTAAAGCTGAGGAAAAGCTCATATAGCAAGATCTAGATTTATAGCCTTCTGCAAATTCCTACCTTGTATTGTCCTTTCAGCATCTGTTCTGCCGCCACTGCGGTCAGCTTCTATCTCTGGGGTCAGAGAGTCTAAAAGCATAGAAAGGTAAGAGTGACATATATTTCATTTGATTCCTATTGTCCTTTAAAAAAAAGAGCAACCTGTTACTTTGGTGCCGAATTAAAATCACATAAATCTTTGTCGTCTTTTAAAGGTTGAACAGAAACTAGTCATAGGAATTTTCAGAAGATTTAAATAAACAAGTCACATAATATTGCTCGTAAGATATAACAGGAGTGGAAGTTCTTCAATTAATATTTGTCATGTCTTTGGTGGAAAAAGATTTAGATAAGCACAAAGTAATGCTGGATCCCAGATGCTAGGGTAAAGTAATAAAACAAAAGAAGTATTTATGAAATAAAGTATTTTCCCCAAGACATTCTTTCCACCATGCTCTCAGTGACAAGCACAGCTGAGTGGACCACATTCATAGGAATATACAAAGTCATAAACACATGTCTAAATTGTCCTCTGAGTATAGGAAATAGTAGTTGGTCATGTTTGAATATACACCTTCTTACCGTTTAACACTCTGAGACTGTCTGTCGAAGCTGCCTGTTTCAGGGTCTGCTCTGCTTGCTCACGCCGTTTCGTCTCAAATTCTAGTGCTTCTTGTAATTTTCTTTTTGCCTTCTTCTCCTTTTTTAGCCTCTTTTGAACTATAGCTAGAAAAAAAAACTGTCACTATTAGTTTTTTTAAAAAATTTTGTAACGTTACTAATTTACAAATGGTCAATATTTTTATCTGTTTTTATTTCCTGTTGCACTGAACTTGCCAATAAGTGGAAAATTCTAAAAACCCTACATTTACCAAAAATAATTGTTAATAAAATATCTAAAGAAGCCAAATTTTACTTTAGCCTTGAATCACACTAGACAGCTTTTAATTATCACAGTGAGAGATAAATTTAATTGGAAACCAATAATAGTAAATATTTATATTTACTGATAAATGTATCTTGATTAAATGCATTTTGTGGCTTACCTGTTCTGGAATCAGCATAGTGCAGAATAGTTTCAATAGTTCAAAACAGAACACTAGAAGCAGATCTACCATCTCCTTACGAGGCATTTGTACTACAACTGTTTGTTAAAAATCATGATACGACAACTAGGATTATTATAATTATGTCATGAAATTTTAGGAAAAGAAATAAATATTTTTGCATATAACAGTAAAATGCTCCTAATTATAATTAACATATGTGGGTAGTAATTTGTTTGGATGACATTATTACAATTTTCTCAGAGAATAACTTCTTCATAGTGAGTTATGAAGAACTACTGCATTTTTACTCTGCAGTTATTCTAGCGGAATAAAAAACCTAAGTGCTAATAATAATATGCCAATAATAACAATATTGCAGCTATTATGTAAACAAGTAGACTGTGCACAGAGCTGATTATGATATATTTTCTCTTACCAACAATTTAAATATCGGCATATAATGTGTAATCAATAGATAATAACAAATAAACAAAATGCTTATTAACTACTTTAGGTAGAGTAACTGCTTTAAAATCCCCTCCATGTAAATATATATCATAACTACTCAGTATATAGGATCTATTTTTTTCTTTGAAATCATTTCTTTGACAATAAATGTGGATGTTAACGTGATGAAATCACTCAGAAAATTCATTTATATGTCATGAAATATGATTATTCCAACTTTAAATTTTGACTTCTTACTATTGATGAAAGAACAAAAACTTTTTATTTAATAAAATTTTAATAAAATAAAATATAGTTGAAATATAAATTATGGAAATACTGGTTGAAGTAAGTAGTCTAATTTCAATTTCTGCATATCCTGTTTATATATCAGTATACTGTTCAGATGATAGTCCATTAATCCGCTGAGTTTACTACTTATGTATCATATTTTTAAAACATTTTTAAATCAAAATGCAAATTGACTAGTCATGTAAGAAAAAAAATGATTAAAGTGTTTTGTAAATAAATGCTAAATTCCTTCATTGTATAAGTATTATATGGTTACCTTAACAAAATTAGTTGCCTATCGTGTCTCTTTCCAAAAATGATATTATTTATGTTTCTTTGAAAAGAAAAAATACATTTTGAAGTATTTATTTTGAATAATATATTCTTTCTGGCAAAACAAGCTCAATATCCAGCAGCTTCTAATTGACCACTCACTGTGGCTTCATAGCGGACTGAACCAAACGGGATTGCCACACTCTGTCTTCAGGGTAGTACTCTGCCTCAGTGGACATGTCCATTATAGATAAGTAGTGATCATTATTATCTTTAACTTACTGCTGATAATCAATTAAAAGGGAAGTTTGTGGTGTGATCTATGAATGTTTTGCCCTCTAGTGGTTAAAAGAATAAAGTAAAATGTAAATCCTGCGAATAGGTATCCACAAAGTTACACAGGAATTCAAGAGCACGCACATAAATCTTGTGTGAAAGACTTCTTTAGATTAGAGCAAAACCAAAACAAGGCTACCTCATAGAAAATCACTTCATAGATTAAACTCTTTGACCAGACTTTCTTATTCATCTTATTCCATTGTCAATGTTCATTTTGCTTTATGTCAGTATCAAAACTAATGGGAGGCTGTACCATTAGAATTGTATCATATATGTATAATTACGGATTAACAAGTCAACCTTTTCCAGGAGTGCACTAAGCACTGTCTCATAATAACTAGATAAATGAACTAAGCCCTGCTTTTTATTTTTACAAGCAAAATAGAAATAGGTAACCACATGAAACAGAAAAGAACATATAAAGCCTTAATTGGATACTCATTAAGTGAAAAAAAACACACAAAAATCTCTCTTTTATATAGAATACTTTAAATAATGATAGTTGAAACAAATGGAAGTTAGTTGTAAATAATCTTCATGTTCATACATAAACATACAAACATGAAAGACCTTCTAAATCATCTATAGATGGATGATAGTGTGTGTTAAAAGACACAATTCATAGATCAATAATATCATCAGTTTCTCCCAATAAGAAGTCATATTGGCTTCTGTTCTGCGTACTTGACCTTGTTGAATAAAAGTAAGTCATTCAGAAAGAAAATTATACAAACACTTAACTATAGTCATTTGTTCAGATATTCATCACTCTTCAATTTCATCTGATAAATATCTTACTAAGCCTGCTTTGCTTGAGGAATCAGTACTTTCTACTTTAGCTTCATGACTTTAACTCCAGTTTTTCAAAAGGCAATTGAAAAGCTTTCTTCATGGCTGTCACTGTATTAGAGCTCATTCTCCTCTTAAAACATTATGGATTTGCTAAACCTTATAAGCAATAAAAATTGTATGATCAGTGACATAATGGCTATATGTCAAATCTGAACAGGAATGGGAAAGGAAATGTCTAATTAGAAGATAAAGAAATGCCAATCCAGGATTCAAATTCTGCTGTAAACTTTAGTTACAGTTAAATTAACCAAAAAGCTACCATCTCAAAGTAAATCACAACAGAAGTGTATCATTTTGTTGAATACTTAAGAGTATTAAACTTATTTAGAAGTTCACGAATACCTCTGTTTTTTTGTTCCATAGCCAGCTGCTTCTCGAGAGTTTCCCTTAGTTCTCTTTCCCTTAAAAAATCCATCTTTAGCTCAGTTTTCTCCAATTGGACCTGCTTTTCTTGAGCTCTCGCATTATCTATGGCAACCTTCAAAAGCCCCTGTACAAAGAAAGTATTCAGAATGGTAATATTTTGGTGCAAAACACTTTATATTCTTTACTTCAAATCATTTTAAAAGAAAGGCACACATTTATCAAGTTCTTTAATTCTTATTCACTCACCAGTACCAAATAGGATGAATACTATAAACCACAAGATTTCTAAATCTAATTCAACTACTATAGAAATACACATATTTATGACATTGCTTCTAATTAGAATATGTAGATCCAAAACTAAATTGGGGCAGTACATTAAAATGTCTAAAACTTAAGACCTGAGAAGAAAATTAATTTGATATATGTCTGCAAGTAGACCTCTTCCACTCATTCTCGCACTTCCTAGCCATATTACACTAACTGCAATGATATTTTTAAATGTATTTCTACCACAGGAAAATTGTTCCTCTCATTAATGTTTCCTTTTGGCTATACTGTAAGCTTATTTATTCTTTGCTCAAAGTTACTGCTGAGGAGAACTTCTCTTACCACCCTATTTGGAATAACCTTCTAAATGTATCTTTCACTCCCTCCTTAAAATTCTTCATGGAGCCCGGGATGTAGCTCAGTGGCACAGTCCCTGCCTGGAAAATACGAGGTCCTGAGTTTGTCTCCTAGGACAAACAAACAAACAAAATTCTCATTGCATTTATCATTATAGAGTATTGTCAGGTATTTATTTACTTATTATGTTGTGTCTCTTCCACAAAAAATAGTCCTCTGAGGCAGGGAATTGTTTCTTCTTAGCATTATGTAACCAGGGCACAATGTCTAGATTACAATGAATTTAAAAGCTTCATAATTAGAAATTATAAAAGTTATATATTTTTGAAATATATATTACATTGAGTGGAACGAAGCCATAGTGAGTCCACAGTGCACTGTTCTTTAAATGTCCTTATAATGATTGTAGTAATCTGAGTATAATTTTTAGAAAACTCCTGGACAGTGTAATTTGCAAGAGGATATAGTAAAAATAAAATGCATCTGTTCATATAATTAATTAAGGAGATAGATACATAAACTTTGACTTACTGTATAAATTTTTAAAAATAGCAATATTTTGAGATTTTGAGCTTGAGTATAATAAAAATATATTGAACTTAAGCTAAGACACTTAGAACCAAATTAGCTAGTAAAAAATGAGAGCTAAATTTTTTTATCAGTTCCACAAAATACAGGATGTCATTTTGAAGTAGAAAGTATTTTGCCTTTGTAAATAGCACAGGACAGAAAACTTTGATGGAAATTATAAGTGGGATGGAAGTGGATGCCATTTATAGATGAACACGAGGATGAGATCTTCCTGCAAAAGTCAGCAGGAGAACACTAACATTGGGATGACTTCTACTCCAGCCTGACTGATAAACCTTACAGAGATGTAGCCTACCAATGTAGCTTTGAGCATTGTCACAGTCCATTTTTATTCTCTTTTCAAACACCTATAAATTATTTCATATTTGTTATACCTGACTTTGAATTTCTGGTATAATCTTATGATATGAAACAAGCTGGAGAAGGATTCCTATGTAGCAGCGTGCCCCTCCCCACTCTTTTGTTGCTTAACAATAAAGCATAGCTGCTAAGGAAACTGCCATCTTAACTGAATTCAGCAACATTCCTGTATGTTTCTTCTTCATCAGGAACAAACAATTAGTAACAAATGAAAGAGATCATTACATCAAGTGCCCTTTTAGATCACCCCAATTAAAACTTTAGTTTAGCTGTATTTTAATTCTAAGATACCAAATTCTAATTTTCTGCTCTGATTGCTCTTGTTGACTTATCTTTGAAAGATGTACTCTCTGTGCAATGTCTAGAGATTATTTAGCAAGATGCCAATGTTGGCACCACTTAATGTGTTGATTGGTTATATTATCAGTAGCTGTTTAAAATAAATTACTATTAAACTATTATTGTCCTTGGCTGAAAAAAAACACAATATTTTGGTGTTCTCTAAATGTGAAACAATTGTTATGAATAAACATGTTGAATATTGCTAAATTATTGGATTTGTGTAATTTTACATTAATATCCCTTTACAAAGAATAAAGTTGCTAAGAACATTTATGTTTACTGTTTCCTATTGTTACAGTTGCAGCTAATGTGCTTAATGGCAATACATTACCTATTCCTGCTGATTATGTCTGAAAAATATTAACTTTTAGATCCAATACCCTCTAGGGAGTACTTCTAAGCTATATAAAATTAAATTTAATTTTTATATTTTAAATCAGCGCACATCAGTAGGAGTCCAGTGTGAACAAAAATCTGCACTACAGCCAAAATGATGCATATGCAAAAGTATGTTATTGCCAGTGACAGCTCTGCTGAAAAAATAGAGAAAACCGATTAAATTTCAGTGCAGCAGGGGGCCGCGGAAAGCAATAGCAAGTAGTATTGGCAACATCTACAAATCATTAGGACACCATTTTAACCATCCATGATAATAATATTTTTGTATTTGCCTAACTTCTGTAGAATTTTCAGGTAGATGGTTTGCAAAAGGTCACACTACATGCTGGGCCTCATTTGGACATATAGTAACTAGTAAAATGCTGTGACAACAATGAGAATTTCAGTAAAAGAGATTTAAAGGTGATCTTTTTCTCTAAAAGGAGTTAAGTTCTTAGAATATTAAGTAGGGTATGGACAAGTGTAAAGAAATACATTTTAAATACAGTGAAAAATGAATGATTTATTAACCTTAGGTTTGTTTTCCATAAGTGAGGCATGATGACTGTCATTTTATACAAAATTTTTCTCCTTTAAACTGGTCTATCTTGTAAACTAAATTATTTTTATAGAATGAGGTAATTTTTTAAAGGCACTGCAATTCATCTATCAATGTTTCTACTACATATATTGCTTAGAAAAGTCTAAAACATCCGCATAAAAATACTTCAGGTCACACTGGCATGAAACAAGTAATATTTCCTAGCATGTTAGATTAATAAAAAAGGAAAAGATTTCTTAATTGATGTTCATATTTTATGCAAATTTATTTCAGAATCAGATGAGGTTTTCAAATGTCAAAGTTGTATGACAACTTTTGTGCTCAAGAATGTTTCTTCTATTGAGAACAAACCAAACTTCTAGAAGTATTTACCACTCATCCATTGTTCCAAAAATATATTTCTAAGAATAAAAAGAAAAGATTCAGAAAGATAAAATGACTAAGAATGAAGACTTGTGAGATGATGAAGCCTACATCTGAACCACAGCAACTTTTCATTTTTTTTTCTATTAATATTTCCTATCGCTTTGGAAAATGAAAAGGAATTGTTCTCCCTGAAATCTGGAATTTTGTAGATTAAAAAAGATGACAGAATCAACTGGTATATTGTCACACAGTTCTTATAATGAAAAATGGAACAGTACACAATCTAATGTTATTGCTCTTCAAAGGATTTCAGTGACAAACTGCCTGTAAAAAAGCATTTTCAGGCATAAACCCATCTCCTGGTTCACAGTTTTGGGTGGTAAAATAGCAACATGGCCTCTGAAATCAGCTTTCGCTCAAAATCCAGACCCTACCAGCACTGTGTGACCATATCTGTCCTTGAATTATTAAATGGAAATGGGTTATATAATCTACCGCATAGACTGGTAAATAAAATTCACTCTAGAAGGAACATAATTGCTATAGAGACTGGCACTTTAAAGTGGTTTCATAGGCATTAATTCATACTATTGTTGTATTACTAAATATAGTACAAATTAACAAATACAGTGTTTAGGTTTTAAAGAAATTATTGTTCTCATTACAGAAAGCTATACTCATAATTTTAGGTATATTTTAATGTTTTTATGGTCTTTCCAAAATTGTAGTGGGAATAAAGAAGCGAAAAACTCATTATATAATTATGATTGATAATAAAAACAGAATACAATAATAATATATATGATTTTAGGTTACTCTCATATTTTGAATCTAATGGCTTATGGGGGGTTCTGATGTTTTGTCTACATCTATTTCAATAAATATACATTAATAATACAAATCAATAAATCATTAATTTCTATTAAACATATATAAATATGGTAATGGCTATCACTGAAATATAAGATGGGGTAATCAGAGTATTTCAGTCCTAATACTCAGTTAACTTATTTTTTCATTTTATTTCCTCCAATGTAGAAATAAAAATACTTTTTAGATACCATTGTTAGATTACAGCTATTTATTAAAACATAGTCAGTCTGGAACATTTAGTTTGTGATTTCACTCTTTTAGGTTTTACTTTTTTTTTTTTTTTTTTTTTTTTTTTTGGTTAATTACTCTCTGAAGAGAAACTATAGTAAATCAAACTCTTTATTATACAACCTTTATAACCTTTGATTCTGTCATCCTTAACTTAATTTTATATTCTTTACTCTTTTACATTTATGTTTTTAGTTATTTATTCTTTTAGTATTTGTAAAACATTTAAAACCATTTTTGTTAAAACACATACCAACAAAGTACATAATTTGTTTCCAATTCTATACTCCAATAGACTCGTGTAACTTATGGTATGAAGACTCAAATTGAGAATAGTGGATAGAATCTTTTGAATGTGTTAGAGAGAGTGGTAACCAATACCTGAAAGTGTCTCATCTAGTTAATTAATACAAAATTTTTCTCCTATTGAGCCTCAAAAGTTTTCCAAGGATATGACTGAATTAGAAAGCTGTGATGAAGCCTTGCTCTTAATGAAAAAAAAAAATCAAAGAAAACTTTAAAAAGTTTTATAAACAAAAATTGAAATGTACACACATCCCACACTAACTTAAAATTATTTTTCTTACTGAGAATATCCATATATATTATTACCTTTAATTTATAAAAGTTTCAAATGCCAATGAAAAGTTCTATTAAGAAAAATTTGGCTGCAGAGAGGAAGAAAAAATAAAGTTATACAGTGTATCTTGATTTAATTCAACTGTATCACTTGTGTTATACATTTTTTCATCTATTAGTCTGGTTTTTAACCTACACATATATATTATAATTATCATATAAGTTAAATAATCTAATTCTGGTGAAATAAAAGCAAAAGGAAGGGGAAAAACTTGAAATGTGCTCTGTACATGTACCTATGGTGAATGACATTATTATATATTCTAAACATGTATTAATGAAAATCAAAATTAAAAACAAAAATCTGGCTCTCAAATTTATACATGTTATTTTCTATAGATCTTTCAGACACAAAGTTATGTTTATGAAAATTCAGTTTTCATCAGCATATCATGGGGGGGATATCTCTATTAACCCGAACAAATTTTATAATTCAGAATTGTCAAATTACAGTATGTCATGAAATTTGATACTTCACTATTAAAAATTATTTTGAAGGGCTTTTCCATTGATTCTAATTAAAAATAAAGTTTTAAAAGTATATATGGAGCTTTAAACTTATACAGTAAGTATGTTACAATTTGACAGAGAAAGCAGAGAACCCTATTACGTATGATTGAAGCTGCAGAGGAAATTGAGGTAGGAAGACTGTAATTATCCAAATTAGAATTTAGACGGCAAACACATTTATACTGTATGCCTAATAAGCCAGGGTCGTGACTGTTTAAACATTCTATACTATTCCTAGGATATTACCATAACTCAATAAATGTGTCAGTAATAAGAATTAGCATCCATGACCTTTAGTAAAATGATGTGAAAACATTACTGACCACAATCCAGTATGTACAGGTATTCATGTTGTGTGTGTGTGTGTGTGTGTGTACATATGTATTTACATGAATATATAATTATATCTGTGCATTAGAGGTGAAGATTGATATTTTATCTTATTTGCATGTATGTGCACACATGTAGACATATATATCTTAAATGTACACATTTAAATACATAATGATGACATCTATGTACATACATGGAAGTGTAATACTGTAAGATTGTGTAAGATTGAAGTGAACGAATGAAATTTTCATAAAGCATCCTTATTGTAGATGTTCTAATTTTATCAGATCAAGAACCCTATAATTTGAGACAAAAAATAGTTGTCTTATAAACTCATACTAAAATATATGCTCAAAGCAAATTAAAAATGAGCAAATTTTTAAAGATGATAATAGATCTAGAGAAACCAAAATGTGTGTATTTTAAAGCTAGTTTTTAAGTCAATCTCTTTCTCTCTCTGTCTCTCTCTCTGTCTCTCTCTCTCTCTCTCTCTCTCTCTCTCTCTCTCTCTCTCTCTCTCTCTCTTTCTCTCTCTCCCTCTCCCTCTGTGCCTACTCTATCACTCCTCCAGGCACTTGTACTGAGCTATGTCTACAATCTTTTACATTTTTTGTACATTTTTAAATTGTATCTTTTATTTTTCTTTTGAGGCAGGGTCTTGGTAAGTAGCAAAGTAGCTCAGCCTGGACTTGTGGTCTTTTCTGCCACTGTATACGTGCAGTAAATCACACAAATTTAAACGACTAAATTTTTTTAAAAAACAGTTAAATCTGTCCCATGAGTAGCTAATAAAAGATGAATATCACTATCCCTGGCTTCTTTTTCTTCCTATTTTTTTTGAAAGAGCGTTGAAATGATATGGCTGGTATTCCTATTCTAAGCAGAATATTCCCAGACTATTAGTTTTTGACTTAAGAGGTGTGGCAGTCACAAAAGATCCAAGGTTCCATATGTAAATCTGCTCTTCAGACCAATGGGCTGGTTTACCAGCGATGAATGCATTTTAGGCTGAAATTGAACTTAAATTCTCACTGGGCTGGTTAAAGAGATTTTAGTAAGTAAAGCCTTTATTTTGTTTTATATGACAATATAATATGAATTGTTCCCCTATTTTTCAGAATTTAACCAGGATGGAGAGAGATATTTCTGAAAACATTTCATTGTGTAAAATAAAAATATCTCTAGAAGTTTTATTTGATAAAAAACAATCATGGAGATGAAATTTAGGGGAAACATCTTACTTTTTATTCAAGTTATAATCAATCCTTTGGTCATAATTCAATTTAGGCTACATTGATGAGTTGTTTCAATTACTGAGATATAAAGCCTTAATGTTGAATACAGTTCTGGAAACTCTAATTACATTAGTATTAAAAATGCCATATTAATGACTGAGAAGATATCTTACATTAAAGGCCTTCTGTTATGTCCTTGGAGAGGTAAATAAAATTAATTACATTTCTACTGGGAAAAAGTTTAATATGGTAAGAAATGGGTTCTGAAAAATACCACTCAAGAAGGCGGGTTGGAATAAAAAATTTTTATAAAGAAACTTTTGAGTACAATTTTTGTGTGCGCATGTCGACTACTAACTACTCCAAATATGGTCAAATAGATGACAAAATTCTCCATCTGGGATCCACATGATCACTTCATGTGTGGGCAAGAAAATTATGCTTTCTCCTGTCCCAAACACTCTTATTATCTTGGCTCTGGGCTCTATGTTATTGTTAACTGTAAGTATTCTTGATTCATAACGTACTGTACATAAAGTATACATCCTGAAGACCACATAGGAAATCCGTGGAAACTTTGGCATAGCTTTTTGAAGTCTATTCTTTGAAGAAACTTCATTAATTGCAACAAACTTATTTATGAAAGAAGAAATTTTTTTTGGATTCTTTTATATTGCACATATTTTAAATAACTAAACATATCATTTCCTCACTGGAAGGCCAGCAGTTTCAAAATATCTAAATATTTATTAGAACTGGTATGCTGTCATTTAGTAAATCAGACAAACTGACCAGTAAGTTTGCCCTATTACTAGGCAATAAAGGGAGCTTTTAGGCAGAATGCATTTTTAAGTGCCCATGTCATTGTCATCTAAGTTTCATTATGATTTCATATGCATATCTAAGTATTTCTAAGCCAAACTGAATAGTGTAACAATTGTAAAATCTTAGTATCTAAGGGGTAAAACAGCCTGATAGCTGGTTCAGTGGATCTCATGAGTGCAGTAAGTGGAACTGGCTGAACTTCGGAAAGAAAACCCATTTCTGAGTGTTCCGAGTTTCCTCTTCCAGGCTGTAAATAGGCCTACCTGTATGTTAGTCAGAAGGGTCTCTATGGAAGACAATCCATCAGGAAACAGAAAAGGAGACGGAAAACCTGGAGGCAGTGGTTGTCCATGCCCAGTTAGAGAAAGTTTGTCAAGGCTGTCTCTTGCAGTTGGTGTAGAAAGCGGGGTCTCATCTGTATGTGATTGAAACAAAAATATAGAACAAGTTACGCTTGTCTGTTTTTATTAGACCTCAGTAATGGCTTCCCTAGTGGTTTCCAGAACATTTATTGCAAATTGGTTCCTGCTATCAGGAGAAAATGCTTTCTGCTGAATTTTCTTTAATGAAAAAGCTGTGGAGATACAACAAGATAACATTAATGAGTAACTTTATAAGCCTTTTAAATGCAGTCTCTAATGAGACTGAGTTTACAGTGCCATAGAATCTTTTTAAAACAAATATTATCTCATATGTAGTTGTGATAATATATTCAGGCTGACTTTATGGGCACCTTCCCAATTATCTCATTTTAGTTCTTTCTCTTTAGATTGACAAAAGAATATTTCTGGAGATTTATATAAGAGAAATGCTTTGTATTCAGGATGTTTCTTAATTAATCCTTTTTATATCAATGATTTCTTCAAATATATTTTTAAGAAATTTTAAAAATATATGCAATTAAAATCTTTCATTTTACTTTGGAAAAGAAAAACTAGAATCCAAATATATTCTTTCCAAATAATAACTGAATTATTCACTATCATTAAAACTAAAGGTTTAATTCTTTTGAACACAGACATTTTTATTTTGAGACTTACGAATATATCTTTTCAACATGAAAAAGAGGACTGAAGAAAAGGTAATAAAAAATAACTTCGGTCACAATATTTAGAAAATCAAATTTAAAAACAGATAAATTAGTCTTGATCTTTTTGATTGAATATTCTTCATAGTTTAGTAACTTAGATTATACCTGAATATGGATTCTTTACTCTCACTTTGAAGTATTTTTATTTAACTCTGCATTTTTCAGCATTTTACAGTTTTTTAAAATTAAATAAATACAAGTTATGGATTATTTTAGTTTGTTATAATCACAGAGAAAAATTTATTCAGGGAAGAATTCTCAGTTTTATAAATATTCTCCTATTTCACCCCAGGAAGTTTAATCAGAGCAATGTATTTCCAGAGTCCAGATAGTATCTCTCAATTTCACGAGCGGCTAAAAACTTCAGCACAGTTGTGTTATGCTTTTAATTTCATTCCACTGTTTCTCTTGATCATTCTTTTATTTTTCATTACAACACCCAACCACACAACACATTTTCCAATTATCTCTCTCTGGGGCAGAGATATTATGGAAGCCACCACACTTCCCTGTCTGTCACTAATGTCAGAACAAGTTAAATTCATCTCCCTCACCTTTCCACATTTCTAGTTAATGAACCAAAGGGAAAGAAAGGTGGGAGGAGGGGCAGATAAAGCACTGTGTTAACTGCGTCCCCTTCACACTCACTCACTCCTGAGCTGTGTCTCCTTCTACTCTTTCCTCAGCCTCCACAGCTAGCTCACTGACTTGATCTGAGGCAGACTCAAAAAAAAAAAAAAAAGCAGTCAGCAACTGAAGAAGGCTTCTAGTGTTGTTATCTTTTTTTTTTTTTTTTTTTTTTTTTTTTAATCACACTTGTCCCCAGGGTTAAAGAGAGACTGCAGCGGAGGGGTAAAGGTATCTGCTGGCTAATGTGAGCAAGGTGATCTTGGACACCATTTACCTAGCTATCATAAATTACTCCTCCAGACCAAGGCTGCTAGTGTTTTCTCATAATAGCTTTGAAAAAAGGCTTGTTAAACATCTATGTGCATGTGAAATTGTTTAAGAGTAGAAGGCAATATTTTTTGATCAGCATCACCTTAGCTGTCACATACTAAAGAAAATGTGGCTTAATAGATCATGGGAATAGTAATTGCTTGTCTTGTGAAGAAAGGCCCACCTGAGGCTGCCTTCAGTCTTAGCATCTATGACTCCACAAGTTTTAAAGACTGCCCAAGAAAGAAAAAGAATTAATGTGCATACAGGTGTACACATCTGCACATGTCAGATTATAAATTCCACCATCCTGTGACTATTTGATTTAACTGCAACACATTTGTATTAGATGGTACTTGCTTGTTATGCTAATTAAATCACTAAATCACATATTATATCCATGTTTCTGTAATCTGTATATACCTAAAATAAATATGCTAGATACTAGACAGAGAAGGTGAAAAAAACAATTTGAAATCTTTAAGAGCTCATGCAGACTGCAGTGAGCAATTGTTAACTAGTTCATTTTTGAAGTTAGCAAAATGTTTTACCTTTCATCACTATTACTTTATATACTCTTCATCTCATAAAGGACTAAACCTGTCCTGTGGCTATGCATGTGTATGTGTGTAGGTTGCATAAATATAGGCACAGTTTTGCATTAGTGGTTCAATGGAACAGTGGTCCTCATGGTCCCAGCTATATGAGAAAGAACTATCAAAACTGCGTTTGATTCATTCAATTCATTTGTCATTTTACACGATGGGAATACTACATAAGACTATTGGAACTCAATAAATAAGTAAGAAATAATCAAATTTAGGGCACAAGGATCACTTAAAAATGAGAGGAAAAGGATGGTTCTTTAGATCAGCACACATTCTTAAAAGAAGACAAACTAATTAAAGTTCAAATAAACCAAAAATGTTCCTTTGGCATCAATACTCTATTAAGAAAAAAGTAGTCATTGCCTGGTAATTAACATCATCAGAAGTCTCTTTTACATCTTTCTACAAAGACTATAAGGTTGAAAACACAGTTATTCCTTTTTAAATAAAAGTGACCTTTGATATTCTAAATGTTCAAAGAGATTAAGGCAAATTTAGAAAGACTAAAAATCATGGTATTTTTGACATCACATACTCTCCCCACTGCCCTCAAAATCTGAATGATTATGAAGAACAGATTCACAAAATACCTTGTTTTAATTGAGTTTATTTGTACATATTTTTAGAGTTATTTTGAAAAGGGATTTTGAAAAGCAAGTTGGCTTAGCCTAGGATGGTGATCCACACCTGTAATTTCACATTTGGGAGACTGAGGCAGAATGATTACTAGAAGTTTTTGATCAATCTGGGCTACATAGTGAGTTCAAGCAACACCTAACTATACAATGAGACTCTGTCTCAAAATAATTAAATAAATAAATAAAATAAAGTTTATTCATCAGATACCCTGGTTTTGGAATTATTATAACATGTGTATGTGTGTGTGTGTGTGTATGTGTGTGTGTGTGTGTGTGTGTGTGTGTGTACATTGCTTTGATATTTCAGATAACTTTAGACTAGTTCTAAAGTTGCAGGAGTTGTACAAGACATTCCTTTATGCTCTTGTTGTGAGTTAACACATATCAAGATGTATGTCTGTCTAATTACTGGAGCATGATAATGTTAATTTATTTGAGGAAAAAAGGGCTTTCCACAGATATAATTGAGAATCTTGAGGTCAATAATTCACCCATTTTAAGATTTATTCACTCATAAGTGTTCTTGTAATATAAAGGCAGAGGGAGATTTGAAAATAAAAGACACACAAAAAAGAAAGAAAGAAAACCAGGCAGAGTGGTGGCACACACCTGTATTCCCAGCACTAGAGAGACTGAGGCAGGAAAATCATTGCTAGTTGGGAGACCACCCTTAGCCATAAAGTGAGTTCAAGGCCAGCCTGAACTGCGTGGTGAGATCCTATCTCGAAAAGACAATAAACAAATAAATAAATAATCAAAAAAGAAAAGAATAACAAAAGAAGAAAGGAAAAGAAAAAGACATAGTAAAGAGATGAGTACCATACTACTGCAGCCATAAGTAGGTAATATAGACAGCCACAAATGCTAGAAGAGGCAAGCTAATGTTACCACTCTAGTGTTGTTAATCTTAAAAACCTGCAAAGAGTAGTTATTAATATTTAAAGAGTCTTATGTCTTAATTCAGGCAAGTACAATGGTTTTCTAAAAAAAATTACCTTTAAAAATAAAAATTACAAATTAGCATCATAACAATTATATCATACAAATATATTGACAGGTATAATAACATATAGTCAATTAGAATAACAGATCAGAAAAGAAAGCATAAATGAAAGAGAAACTTTTTAAATTCTACAATGCTAAAGATGGAAAAAGTGATATTTTATTCTCATCACAGTGTCTCATAATTCTACTCATATTTTAAGTCACTTTTTAATAAGTTACCATCAGTAAGATTGATGCCACTGTAAGACAAGTTCTCTCCCCCTCAATCTTATCACACATAACAAGTTAGCAGGATATCCTAAGGAACAATGATGTTTAAAAAAATAATGAGCCTCTAGTTTTAAAATGTTTTCTTTCCTGTTAATAAAATCAAACTCAGTTGTTATTTTCATAACTAATCTCCCTTTGGGTTTGAATCATTTATTCTTTCAAGTGTGTGTGTGTGTGTTGTGTGTGTGTGTATCTGTGTGTTGATTTCCAATGTCTTTTTTTACACTGTAAATTCCAAGTAGAACAGTACTCACTTTTAGGAAGCTATTCATTTAAAAGGGGTTCATATTTATTCATCTCAGGATGATAATCTCCAAATTATCATCTCACAAGTTTTGGGAGTTTGTGAAAAAAAAACTGACAAAAATTCTGGAGAATGTAAAGTGAAAAAAATCTTTATAAAAAGATGAATGTTTCTTGATTGTTTTAATACATCTGTATTGCAAAGGTGCAGAAAGTTGTACTTTTTTCTTCATAAACTCATCGGTCAAAGTTTCAGTTGTAGTAGAGACAGAATGATCTACCAATTGAGGATTTGTGCTTAAAAAATTAAAAATTATATCCAGACATAAGACTGAGGTCAATCATAATTTCAGTACTGTGCTTAATTTGGCACAAGAACTGAAACAAAGTGGAATAACCTGAACCCAGAATGTAATCTTGGGTCTGAAAGTACTATTGAATGTGTTTTCAATAAGGAGTTCAAAAACATCACATTGAAATTCATATGATTTTTATGTCTTTCAATGTGTATAAAATACGTAGAGATGCCTTACAATAAACATATTTCTCATATTTAATTTTAAGCCTACTTTTCAAATTATTAACTTAAAATTATTACAGAAGTTTTAATGAAATTGAAAAC